AACACCAACATCCATATCGGAGGTGCATTAGCGCGGCCCAGCAAACGCCGGCCATGACTCTTGCCTCCCATTTCCATCCTCCATCCTCCCACCACAATACCCACACATACATCCTCATGACCGGCGTGCGTCTTTGCTTGACGAGTTTGTAAATTTCAGTCATGAAGGTGAAAATGTGTTTTTATAAATATTTTTCTTATTGATATTACCACGCGGTCTGGTGGATCGCCCAATTATTTGTTCTTTGTGAGCACTGCGTGACATCTGGTACAGACAAACACTCCTGGGGTTCTGAATAGTTGATGCATTTTTTGCCTTTTTGAGAGGGAGGACTGGTAGTGCTATATGAGTCGACAGTATTTCTCTGTAGGTACGGCTTTGGTTGAGGGGTCAGTGCCGATGAATTATAACGATATTTGTCAAACGTACATAGGAATGCAGGCGGCTGAGTTGTACGACTGAGAATGCCAGTAACTGAGGTAGTTTTACTAAACGGACTCCGTTTACGAGCAATATCTGAAAACGAATTCGAGGCTCTGCCCCGCCCAGATGGTTTTTGTTTGCTAGAATAAGCTTGTTGGAAAAGAAACGACAGCGCCAGCGCAAAAAACTGGGGACAAACCTGCGTCTAGTACGAGGGGTGCGTTTCGTCCAAGGAGAAGGGCAACGGCACCAGCACCACCGGTTGGCTGTGTATTTTTGGTGGCGTAAACGGCGATATCTGCAGCAACAACTAGTGCGAGACGACCTGGATGGGGAGGAAAATAGTATTGCAAGCTTATGATTTTCGTTGCACTCAAGATGTGCGAACGTCGAGTGGACGGAAAAGTATATTTGCAACCAAATCTCGGACAGTGGCCCGAGATGACGTTTAATGACTTGCTTTTACAGTCGTTCAGTGTGGTATGAAACTATCTACAGCATTAATTACATGGCCAAGTTCAGGAATATGACTTAAACCTGTAGCGGCATGAATGCACAAACATGAGCATCGTCTTCTAATTTCGATCCTCTCTGTAAATCTGCAAGAATTGGCGCATCTATCTTAGACAAGCATAAGTACAACAAAAAGACACAAAGTAGGGAGAAATTGGCAGTTAGAGAACAGGGTACCGTCACAACTGGTTGACTCGAGCCAATTTATTGCATTGAAAAGCGCCGCTGTGCTTCCGTAACAAGCGCTCTTGACGTCAATTCCGGCGACATCATAATTTCCCGACTCCTCGAAAAGTTGCATCAGGACACTTTTGGTTGACTTTGATTTGTCAATGAGGGATTCTGTTCCGACCTGCAAAATCAGACGAACAGATAACTTTGCAAGCGCGGGGAACGAGGCCGTCAAGAGTAACAAATGACCAAGCCGGCGACATTAAGAGATCCAAAATTTTTTCTGAATATTAGCCTCAAAGGGAAGGTATTGAACATCGTTTTTGGTATCTTTAATGTCAGAATGCTGACCTCACTAACATAATCTACCAAAAAACAAAGTGCTGGTACAGTTTTAAGGATTCCATCAGAAGTCAATATTGGATAGTGTAGTGGGGAGGTTTGTCGATCACCCTCCCTGCGTACGCCATTTTGGGGGCACACGGCGGACACCATCATTTGCGACGTTCGAACTGTCATACTGCAGATGCTGGGACGTAGATGAATCTCGTAAGCAGGTATTTCTGAAAACGGTTAATTACACATTTTCCGTAATCATCTTACATCCGCAATTTTATGAAAGTTATCGCAAACTACCATAGTAGAATGTGGTCGCAGCTACGATATCAACAAATCCCGGTTAAGACAAACCAACTCGCATTATACTCGTGGTCGGTAAGTCCGATGTTAAAGGAAGTCGCACGCCTATCTTATAGATGACCTGGGGTATAAAAACCTAGTTGAAGTTTTGTAATGCAAAGACTCCTATTGGTATCAAATAGTAACAGAACCACATATGCAGGCAATGATGTACCAATTCCAGGGGCGCACGCACACTGTGAAGAACACAAGCTGGCTGTGCTCAGGGGACTGCAACACGGTAAAACAGAAGAAACGCAGTAAGTCAATTTTTCCATTAGGTCGGCATGTAATCAACGCTCAAGAACGTCCACGACTGGAGGAACACCAGGTTAAATAAAGCGAACTGGCCAGCGAGAAGTTATGAGCAGGCACATGTCTATCCACTACAAAAAGGCCAGAAAATCTCCAGGCAGAGATCATTTTGCCAATTACGCTCAGCTGCCAAACCATCTAGTTCAAGAGCAGACGCGACACAACAGACAAACAGTTAAGAATACAATGAAGAAGTGTTCCTAAAGATATGCCAGAGCATGCCATTTTAGGCGGGGGATGTTAAAGTTTTGAGGGGCACGGATTAATTTCAACTTTATGTTACTCTCAGTTGAAAAAACTTTATAATATGCGGCAAAGTACCTCCAAAAACCCCACTTTCTTCAGGTCTAAATTGATGCGTTGGATGAGATTATGGGTTACGGTAAGGGCGAGTGAATTGATATCCTCCGCAATATCGCATACACCCATTGACACTTGCCCGAGTCCCTTAGTGTACTTCCCAGGGCATCCATCAATTTCTTCCAACAGTCGCTGATCTATTATCTGTTTTGGGAAATACAGCTCAGCTGCCAAAATTCCAACACGCCCATCCATCCCAGCGCACTCGCACGCGCCAACGTGCCGTTGAAAGACTGCTCGCTCATCAGTCTAGATAAAGGCAAGGTTAAACTCTGCTCAGCTTATTGATGGGAAAATAGGCGTGAACTTCGGATAGCCCACTGATAATGCAAAATGCATAAGTGTAAACAGAAAAAAGCCAAGCATGGTCCATAAAAACTAGACATGAATCACGTCAGTTAAGTTTAATCACCTATCGTTCAGTCTCATGTTGAGACATGTGCCACGGTTCTTCTGGGAGATTTTTACCTATGGAGACATCCCACAATCAACGAGAACGGCATTCTATGACTTGGCTACTCAGACAGAGCAGGAGAACTTTTGTACATCCGACGGTGCCTACCGAACTTCCGGTTTAGGTGAGTGCGTCCGAAGGTTGGTTGTGGTTACACACCCAAATACGTCAAAGGCCATAGTTCAGTTTATTTAGTTCGCAATGCGAATTACTTGTATAATATCACCGTTCATTATTCTACAATGCGAATGAACTAGGTTAAGGTTCCATAGATAACTATATAAGGCAAAGAGCTCCGACCCTTAATCCTTTTATACCCCCTCCTTGAAGGGATTCGAGGCAATTTGGGTTTTGCTTTGACCACTTTCTTTTAACGTCCTGTAAAATCGGTAGGATTGGCTGGACAGAATGAAAGTGCTTTGACATGGGTCCAGGATGGGAACGGTGTAGTCGCGAGCCGGTGAAGGCGGCCAGTACTCCTTATTTCGCACCCACTGACGCTCCCTCGTTCAACGCTCACAACAAAGCTGATTTAAGGGAGAGAATGGTACCTTGTCAAACTTAGCCGCACACCACAATTTTAATCCAGTCTAGTCTGACGTCCATTACATAATGCACATAAGACAGCTTCCTGCAGATAGGACACTGAGTACAATCGATGTCTCCTCAGATCTCATTAAGAAACACATAAGTCGTTTCAAATGCTCACACTGCTCAGGAACGGACGGAATGCCGAATTCTATTAGTAAACAAGCTTCCGACCTTCCCAAATTGCTAAGTCATTTATTCTGCCTTTATATTTCAAAAAATTCTTTCCTGGAACATTTTTTGAATTGGTTTCTAAATCCACTGCTATCATTCCTCTCCCATTGCGACGACTTTTGCGATTCTTGGTGTCATTTCCCGCATTCCGACCTCATGCGATCTGTCGACGCTCACGGCGGAACCCTCAGTATTCACCGTCTACTAGTAGTTTGATCGTACTTCCCTTCCTAACTCCTCGGATGGGCTTGTATTGACAGCCATCATGACTGGTTTGGTGTCTTTGTTCGGGACCTCACTGCCTTAAGGTCATCCACCCTTTTGCAGTGAGCCGTTCAGGAGGAGCTGACCTGAAGCCACTCGACCGACTTCAGCTCGGACACAATTGCGCCCACACAGCGTCGCGGGACCCTCAGGCATGACTGGACGCAGTCAACACCAGCCCTGGTTTTGCCAGTGGTCACTGCCGTCTGAGAGGACAACTCCGCGTTCCGTACACAATAAACCCCTCATAATGGTGACTTCCGTCTTCTCCCTTCAACTTGGGATTTAACTTGATAATTTTAGTTCACAGACTACACACAGTCTCACAGCTGTACCCCTACAGGCTCGAAGCGTACCAGTAGTTTGGTCGCACCTTCCTTCACCACTCCTTGGCTGGGCTCGAAGCCGACTGTGGCCGATCGCGTCTGGGTTCCTCTCGTCTGGCCTCTCTGACGCGAATTGTCTCATCCGGCGTATCAAATCTGCCCTGACGATGTCCTTTCTGAATCCCGCATAAAATACCACATGCAGGTCAGTCCTGTCCCAAACGCATATGTACTCCTCAATACTGACATTTATTTCTGTCCCTGTAATATCCGATTGTAATCTGTCATATACCGCCCCATGCAGGCCAGTCCTGCCCGGATTTTTCTGTTATTATTATTATTATTATTATTAGCGAGCGTTTTTTCCTATAAAATTAATCTAATCACTTTTAAATTTTTAAGTGGAGTTTTTTTCACCACTCGTTCATCATTTTTCTTAACGGACTACAAATTCAGGAACTATGCATTGCATTTTGCGCAGATTCTGCCAACCTCGTCTAAAATTCGTATGCGAATTTATTTTTAGTTGCTTTGATGGGAACCCGACGGGTCCCTAATAAAAATTATTATTAACAGTAGTATTCGCTATTCTATGCGTTTTGTTGTACGTTAGCAACGTTTTGATTCATGTACTGCAAAGGAAAACCTATCTAGTACCCTATAATGCCCCCGAAGAACGGGCGACAAATGACGAAACCTTGGGGCTCCCCCTTGTCTCTGAGTGCTAGAATCGTGGGCGGAGACGCAGCAGGTACCAGAAACGCAGTAATTATTATTTTATTTAATGCAAGTTTACAGGCATTGTCAGTGGAGCGTTAAACACAAACCCGGCCAACAGTGAAAAAAAACTCCTGTCGAAAAGTAATAAAAATAAAGCGGACGGAGGTTTTTATGGTTTGGAGTGTTAAGGAGAAAAAAACTGCTGACTACAAGGATGCTGACAGTTAAGAAGGGAGGGGTTGATCTGTATCGGATATTATCAGTCGCCAATTTCATTCATAAAGTTGGGGCTGATCCAGACAGAAGCGCCGGAGAACAGCTGTTGGCTAAAGAAGTTACCCCTGGTGAGACCGACCATAGAGATCAGAGACCAGAAACACCATCGCTACTGTAAAGTCGATCAGTGGATTCAGCACCCAGAACTAGTGGGGGGTTTTCTGGATGCAAAAATCGAGTAATAAGTCTCTTAAATAAAGAATGATTTTGCAGAGTTTTCACATTCCTGGGTAGTTTATTCCAAATAGAAATTTCATTTACAGTAAAGGACCGACGATTTTTAACCGTACGTTCCAGAGGAAAAAATAAAAAGACCTCATGGTGACTGTTCCGTCGGGGATGAACAAGATATCTTAAAATAGTGAGTGGGTTAAAGGTACGGTTATAAAAAAGCCTAAATAGAAAAAATAATCCCCTTTGTAATCTACGAAACCATAAAGGATCAAGGCCTGTATGCCGGCAACGTTCTTGGTAAGACAAACTTCGGGGTTACGGGGTTAAAACTCTCTTGGCAAAAAAGTTTTGAACGCATTCTATTTTCGTCCGCTTAGCAGCACGCATGAGGCTAAATACAAACGGACAGTATTTCAGGCCAGATTGAGCGTACATGTTATAAAGGCGCATTCTAATGTCGCTAGTTTTAAAGTTCCGGAGGATAAACCCGGTCGTTCTACGTGCTTTGGAGGCTTTCAAGGCACGGTGTTCCGAAGAAGTGGGGCTCCTGGAGTATGATACACTCAGGTCCCTAATAACCCGAGGTACATTTAAGGCGTGGCCGTCAATAGATACTTGAGGTTGATGGTCGTCGTCAACCACCATGACTGAACATTTATGCCAAGAAAGAGAAAAGCGCCATGTGCAACACCACTGGGCAAAGGCCTGTAGATCGTTCTTTAGGAGCTCGAGCACGATGTCACGATCTGCCGGCTTATATCGTTATGCAACTTTATGATCATCGGCATACATGAAAGACTTATCATTCTGAAATAAATCGGGTATATCGTTAACAACAAGGCAAAATAAAAGCGGGCCGAGTACACTACCCTGAATGACTCCACTCCTCACACATGTGGTGTTTGAGATGGTATTGTAAATCTTAACTCGTTGTGTACGAGTGCCCAGGTAAGAGGATATAAAATTCAGAAGTTTGCCACCTATTCCGAAAGAGGACAGTTTTAAGAGAGGAAGAACATAACCAATATGATTGAAAGCCTTAGTTAAATCGAAGTATACTGTGTAAAGTGCAGAACCATTGTCTCTAGATTGGAGAATCTAGTCAAAGAAAGAGAGCTGACAGGTGTCACAAGAGCGAGCTTTAAGGAATCCATGCTGAGCAACACTCAGTAGGTTATTCTCTGTTAAGTGACACATAATCTTATTTTTGATCAATGTCTCTAAAATCTTCAAAACTGGGGGGAGGTTGTTTATTGGCTGAAAGTCATCAAATGACGTAGATTGGTCATGCTTGGGAGTGCGCAAAATGTGTGATCCCTTCCACAAGGTAGGATAAATTCCACTTTCAAGAGCGAGATCAAATAGCTGGCATTAGAAGGATATGAAAATCTTACTTGCATCAGCTTTTAAAATGCTTACTGGGACACCATCAGGACCAGGGCTATGAGATTGACCAAAACGCCGAATCGCAACAGTCACAACCCAGAGGGTAAAAGTTATAGCTTCGAGAACTGTCCTGATCAATGCCTGGATGATCGGAAGCAATACGGGCTGTCCTGTTTCCCCTTTGGCCTCGAGTTTAGAGTTCATGCGCACAGCCACAAGACGATGAGCAATCAGTGATACGGAGTCGCTGCCAAAAAGATAGGTTTCAGTATCGGGTTGTAACTGACTTTTGATGATTCGCGAGACAAGAACCCTCATCCCAGTCTGCGTTTCGCATTTCGTCAACACTTATTATTACTGGTCGCTCTTCCAGGTCTCTAGGCTGAAACTCCCACACTCAATGCTCCCGGCAAATCAGACTTGTTAGAGCCAATCTCATGCGTCGAGCTGATGCTCGAAAACATCCTAACTGAACTTTGTTGATTTTTCTATGACGGTTCAGGAGTTTTTTTGTGGGGCGTTTTCACATACCAGAATCGGCCTTTTTTGTCTTTCACGCAACCCCAGGTTTGGGCATCCATCGGATCTCATCTCTGAGATTTATACACCCAGATCTGAACCTTTGAACTATCATTAAATAATCGACCCCTCAGCAATTTTCCTCAGATGTATGGACAACGCTTTTGGTGGTCTCTGTTG